GAAAGGCCGAATATGCAAATACCAACTTTTTTGTTTGTTTGTTTCTCGAGCTATTTTTGATGACCAAAATCCGCATTTCCGCTCATAAACGCTTTAAAGAAAACCTAGGCTTTTCTTTAAAAGAGAAATAAGGAAAGCCGTGGCCAAGTCCCCAGAGCAAGGGGGAACCATTGAGCCCCACGGTCACGAGTTAGAGCTCCCTGGGTTCCTATACGGAAGCCCTCTCCTGTGGCACCGACCTTCCCAGAAATCAGAATCAGAACTGTGCTCTCTGGAATCGGGTCCGCAGCGGCCGTGGAAACGCCCCTGGGAGGGTGGGCGGAGCGTCGTGCCTGAGTCTGCAGCCGGCCTAGTGGGCTCGCAGGTTCCCGCAGGCTGCGGTCCAGGTCTCCGGGCGCCGCCCCGGCTCTCGTGCGCACTCCTGGCCTCTGCGGAGCCGCCGCCGCTTGTGGACGCCGCGGAGCTGGGGTGGGACTGCGCGTCTCGGTGCGTTCCCAGGTACGATCGTGTGCATCCTGCGGATCCGGGTGTGGGCACCGGGGGTCTTTTCTTTGTATCTCCCTGCCCCAGGCCTCCACCCCCCCACCCCCGGTGCACGGAGACACAGACAATGGTATTTCTTTTCATAAAACGGCACCGTGGATCAGGGAGTGTTCGCAGCCTTTTACAAGAGTGAGGTTTGTAAGGGAGAAATACCCAATGCCGCTTTGACCAAAGCTGCCGGATTGAATTTAGCTCCGTTTTGGCTGAATTGGACTGTGCCCCGTTATCGGTGTGTTAGGGCTCGGCCCGGCCTGCTCATCCTCACACCCTCCACCCCAAGCCTTCTGCGGCCCCTGCGCTCGTCATCTCATGGGGGTCTCCCTCTTTATTGCGGACCCTCCACTCTCCCAGGCACTGGCCCCTCCCGATACAGTGTCCAGAGTAGGGGAGACAGAGTCTCACCGTCCTGGTTTCTAAGGAGCGCTCTGGCTGGACTTCCTCCAACACAAATCTGTTGGTTCTTCTGGCAGTCCATGGTACTTTCAATATTCTTCTCCAACACCATAATTCAAACACATCGATTCATCTTTGGCCTTCCTTATCCATTATCCAACTTTCATATGCATATGGTGGTTTGTTGTGAAGTGCCGTCCAGTCGATTCCGACCTATAGCGACCCTGTATAGGGTTTCCGCCGAGTGGCTGATGAGCTTGAACCATCGACCTTGCAGTTCAAACAGCTTTGCATTAAACCACAGCGCCACACCAGGACTCCCATATGGTGGTGGTGGGGTGGTTATGTGCCGTGGAGTTGGTCTGACTCCGCCAGCCTGTATAGGGTTTCCGAGACTGTAAATCTTTACGAAAGCAGAAAGAGTCGGTTCTGACCCATAGCGACCCTGAACAGGGTTTCCGAGGCTGTTAATCTTTACCGAAGCAGAAAGCCTCATCTTTCTCCCGTGGAGCAGCTGGTAGTTTCCAACTGCTGACCTTGAGGTTCGCAGCCTGATTCATAATCACTACGATACCAGAGCTCCTACAGGAGTAGAAAGTCTCATCTTTTGACATTGGAGCGACTGGCAGACTCGAACTGCTGACCTTGCAGTTAGCAGCCCAACAAGTAGCCCAATCAATACACTACATTAGATTTATAATGCAAACTTCAGTAACAGAATAAAATAAATGAATAAATGGATAAGAAAAATTGTAGTACATTCATCCACTGGAATAAAACACAATGACAAAAAAACAAATTACTGCTGTGTGCAAAATAAAGGTAACGCCTCACAGACAGGTTGACTAGATTAAATCAGACAGTATATTTTATATAGTGTTGTTCTCATCACATGAAGTCCTTCGTATGCATATGAAGCAGTTGAAAATACCATGGCTCCTAAGTGCACCTTAGGCCTCACACTGATATCTTGGCTCTTTAACAACTTTAAAGGTATTTTTTGTAGTAGATTTGCTTATGACCTTTTGATTTTGACCGCTGCTTCCGTCAGCATTGATTGTGGATCCAAGCAAAATGAAATCTTATTTTTTTTTTAAGAAGTTGAATGTTTTATTATTAAACTGTTTATTTTGCTACAAACCTGTTGCCTCCTGGTATAAAAATAGCACCAGTAAAGGCAAGCACATCACAAAGTTAAGACAGTATTGCTCTTCAACTGAAACTATACAACAAACAAACTCTTCACTCTCCGTCATTTTCCGTGGGAAGACCACTGGACACTCTGACCCAAATTCAGGTATGGGTATCGGCAATAGTTTTAAAATTATGTGAGACTTGAGAGAACAATGTCACCCTTGAAATATCTAATTTCTGTAACTATTCTTACCACAGATAATTTCATGAATTCTGAATATGGTAACTGGATCCTACCCTAAAAATCACAGGGATTGTGGAAAACATGTATATTGTATTTATCTGCAGTCATTAGAGAGTTAAGGAACATATTTGTAACAAGTAGTTTCTGTTTCCCATTGGTAATACTAAAAGCTGTTTTATTAGATCCATTACTAATTGAAGACAATTGTACTGGAGTAAGCTGTTTCCTACTAGTTTATATAGGGGTTCCATTTTCAGTCCTCAATAGATTTTATGTATTTCTCATATGTTTCTTAATTCATTAATTTATCAAGTTCTTATGGATTATTCAATGTCATCGGGATCAGCTAACCATCTTCATAACAGAATTTGTTAACGAGTCCTGGATTTTCTGTAAGAACATCATTTCTGTTACCTCTCCTGATAAAAGAGAGCAGAGTTCAGTAGCTGTTTTCATACTTTCCAAAGCACCAAACTCATCCTGTTTATTCAGTTTTGTTCCAACTTCAGGAAGATTGCAGAATAAACAACATCTCCCAAAGCTTCCTGTGCAGAATTGCTGATTCCCACTGTTCCAATACCATCATCTTTTGGTACCCATTCATTTTTGTCAGTGAATTTATGCGTAGAGCTCTGCCGGTGTGCAGTGTCCGCACGGGCACCTGGTGATGATCCTGGGATCGATCCTCTGTTCCTGAAATGAAAGATGAACTACTCCTCCCTTTTAATCACACTTCTACAATTACAGTTGTGACAATCACAATTCATCCAGTTTACAGTTATTCACAACTGAATCATGAAATCCTGTCCCCATCATCCCATATCCCCTTTCACCAGATCCATCTGGAAAAGAAGAAAACTTTTTAGTGGGGATTCTGCCTTGCCCCCCTCATTCTGAAAAAAGCACACTAGTGAAAGTTTGTAAACCAGCCACTTCAAGTTTCCCCC